GAAAGGGTTTTTACTAGATGTTACAATTGGGTAAAAATCCCAAACTTATGCATCAAATGGCATAAAATTGCATAGAATTGCATAAAAGATAACAAAAGCACTTATCACGACGTACGTAACTGTGCCGTCATCTGCGCCACAACTATTTCGCAGCAACAGCGTTTATTTATCATGATAAAATATTATAAACCCCAGTTTACATATGTTTAAAAAAAAAAGTATTACACAAATTTGTAAAGAAAAAAAAAACGGGAGTGCGACAGAAACCTTTATCGCAACAAAAAAAAAAGAGTGCGACAAAAACAACTTCATCACGACAAAAAAATTTTTTTTTGCCTATATCATAATAAAAAGTATGAAAACAATTCATACTTCCATACTCTGATTATTTGCTTCATTTGGCCTTATTTTCTAATAGGTAACTTAAAGATTAGACGATTAAATAATTTATCCCATTACTAAAATTTAATAATATATACCATATAATAGAACGTCTAGTAGCACGTTTGTCATAAAAAATTGATCTTAATAAGTGTCAAATCAAATTTAAAGATTAAATAAAAAAATTACATACATTTGAACAAATTTTATAAAAAATTTGCATTTGCAAATTGAAATTCACTTTCCACGATTGTGGCAGGATCGAACTCCATATTTCCACTCCCTTGTATTTCTGTTGTTGTATATAATACTTCTTCATTATCACCTTGACCACCAAAATTTGTATCCGACAAATTGACGACCGATCCTATTTCAAGTTTCTCATGATTTGACAATTGAAAAGACATTAAAACGTCTTCATTTTGTTCTAACATGTTAGTATTTTCTATTTCCGCATACGTTGTTTGGTTTAACACACTTTCACGTAACTCACTCTCTGACAACTCCTTTCCATAAAATTTAAGTTCATTTTTAAGATTAGAAATGTAATAAGAATGAATCTTAGCCATACTTTCAAGCCGCTGGGGTGATAGCCGTGAACGGTATGTACCGTATAACCACCTTAGAATAGAAAAATTACGTTCGCAGTTCGCTTGTGAGGGTACAACTGCAAAGATAAGCTGTGCAAGATCCCGAAGATATTTATGTTTGTCTTCAATGACACCCCACCACAAAGCAGGTGGTTTAGAGAAATCATAGGCAAAATCAAATGGATACTTCCCATTTTTGTAACGAATTAGTTGTGTAGTTAATAGTCGGCATGTAGCTTCATCATTGTGTGTACTTTTATAGAATTTGACGGCGATCTCACAAATTTGGCGAAATATTCCTTTACGTAAGCCAAGTTCTATATATTAAAAAAAAACAATCAAGCTTTATCAGGTTTTTAATTAGAACATAAAACATTAAAATCGTTATCTGATTATCCTTAAACCCAATAATAAATAACTAATCTCGATCAGGTTTTTTTTTAGTTTTCAAACTTAAACACTATACCTCTATATCCGGGATGGAGGAAATATGCAAGAAGATAAGGCTCAATATCAAATTCAGCATAGCGTTTATTAAATATAGCAATGGCTGAATCACGAAAGATATTATTAGCAGGAATTTTGTTAATCGCTGCAGCCAACTTTACTATATTAACAAAGCAATCTGCAAGATTCGCTGTACGAGATTCTAGATTATGTATTGCTTCCTTAATGGGTTGAATAACGGATGCAATTCGATGACAATTTGTATAGAATATGTCATCATTATCATTCAATATTGAAATAATTGCTTTTTTACTAATCGCATTTCGATTACTCTCTAAAATCTAAAAAAAATATATACAGTATTAGATAATGTCAAAATTCAATTACCGTAGAATGCCGTATCTAGTACCCGAAATACCCTATATGGCTAATTTTATATCCAAAGTGGATATTTCATGGTATGGTAATACTTTACCTTATCAAAAACGGGCTTTAATCTTACTATTGAAGATGTGGTTCCAAAAATAGAAGCCCATCTTGTTTCACAGTACGTTTCTAAACCACCACCTTCTAAATTCATATTTTTGATACTATCATGAAGAAGCCGATTTGCTCTATGTGATTTTTTAAAAAATTGAACTATTTGATTGGCCTGTTTCAAGACGTGATCAACAGACTGAACTTTTACTATATCACTTGCAATAAGGTTCAGTGCATGAGCAACACATCTTATGTTCCAAACATGTGAATAATTAAACGTCGTAATCTCACGAGCAACACGAATATTGCTCCCATTGTCCGTTACACATGCTACAAATTTATTAGAGCCAACTTCTTCAATGATATCAGAAATTTTGGAAGCGAGAAATTCCCCTGTTTGTACTGCATCTGAAAAGTCTGATATGGCATATAAATATTCTTTTCGATCTGATGTAGAAATTATAAAATTATATAACGAGTCATTTGTTGGACTTGACCAACCGTCGAGTGCTAATTTTTAAAAAATTATGCATTAATAAAATACAAAAAAATTTGAGTATTTCCTTGCCGACGCTTATATGTATAATCTAACCTTTTCAACACAAATTGACAATTATGACAGTTTTCCCAAAACAAGACTATATTTAATTATTGTGGCGAATTAAAATGAAATCAGATTAAAATGAAATTTTGTATAGT